GTGACTCTCAGTGAAAACTTTCAGTCTCTGTCATGTATCAGCTATCAAAAACTAACTTCTAATTTCCCTGTGTGTGTGCTTTTTTTTCAATACATCTGTGCTATTCCACCAAAAGCTTTACCGATGTAACTTTCCAACCTTGTGTCCTTGAATCATCCAGGGCTCAGGAATGTGTTTGTCGTTTGTGAATTTTAATAAAGAATTAACATATAAAATGTGATTTATAAATTTTTCAATATATTATGCTATAGAAACTCAGAAAAGTGAGGGCATTGAGGGAAGGCTGAGGGAGGAATAGAAGGGAAAGTTAAGGTTTATTTTGCCACCAACTGGTGTGTCCTCGGTACTATGCCTTTATCTGCTTTCATCTAATAAGCAAATACTCCTCAGGGCCCGTCTTCTCAATGAGTCTGAACACTGCATTAGCAAAACCAGACTGATGCTTAGAAAGGGTTAGACGTCAGTGCAACGCAAAGGCAACTTGTAACTTAAAATAAGTTTCCCCAACTACATCCGAATCATGCCTCTGAAGGGAACACGTGGTTTGAGGAAGCCCAGTTAATAAAAGAAAATATGTCTCATCAGAGACAGCATTAATGTCGAGATAAAAGCTGTAAATATTCAGACCAGTGCTGTGAAACACTGAAACTCAACTGAGCTGGGCAATTCATTGCAAATGGCAGAACTATAGGGGAGTGGCTCTTGCCTGCTAACTGTCGCTCCCCCTCTTCGTGGAGGAGCAACACTAAACCCTGCCTAGGCTTCATATCCGAGTCACGGCACCATTATGTCGCTCCCCCTCTTCGTGGAGGAACGACACAGGACCCTGCGCTGTTCTTTCGTCTGCTCGGCCCTCCCCGGGTTTGCTGCTGGTTCTTCCCGGGTTGGCTACCGTCCCTTCCACCTCCGTGGAAGGGCGGTTCCCCCTGCCACATTCCCCACTTCCGCGGGGGAGCGGCACACCGCCTGCCGGCTCTCTCGGGGGCTGCACAGGTGTTCCCCTTAGATGTTCCTGGTGCATGCCGTCTCTCTCCTCCTTTATAGTCCTCCTCCGCCAATCCCAACTCTGCTACCCACACGCCGAGTACACTGCTCTCCTCCAATCAGGAGCAAGTCCTACAGTTTATTGGCTGAACTGGAGGCAGCTGTGTAGAAGCTGTTTTCTTCTCTCCCAGCGCCATATTGTGGGAGAGCAGATGCACAGAATAAGTCTTAATTCCAGTAACTTAGTCTAGTCCGGGTTGCTCCCCACACTAACCTCCGCCCACACTCCCTACAGCTCCCAAACACAGCTTCCTCTCTCCTCCACCTGTGAGGCTCATGGAGCTTTGAGAGCCAGTGGACGGTGATTGTCTCAGTCAACCTGCGAGGGAAAGGAGCTCTGTCTCCCCACAGGGTTTGACATTCTTGGTGTTACCTCTCGCTGGAGACCAGCAGGTCCTGTGTCGATTTTATCGCCTGTTGCGCAGTGTGGCCTTTTGGCCATATACAGTTATGCCTTTCACGGGTCTCATTCGTCTAATAAATATTCATTGACTCCATCAAGATTTTGAACACTGGCTGTGCCCTGCTCCTGTTAACCCCTTTGTTTTGGGGGTGATCTGTCTTGCACCATGTCCCCTGGCTATGTTAGCTAATTGCAATCCAGCTTTGGATTCCTGCAGGAAAATGGGGGAAAACAAAGCAGCCTCCTGGATGTCCCCCAGCATCTGCCCCACCCTCTGCAGTCACAGTCTCGTATCTGTACATATATGATACTCTAGTGTCTTTCTGTATGCATTTTCTTTTTCTCTCTCTCTCTCTTTTTTTTTTTTTTTTTTTTTTTGATAGGCAGAGTGGACAGTGAGAGAGAGAAACAGAGAGAAAGGTCTTCCTTTGCCGTTGGTTCACCCTCCAATGGCTGCCACGGCCAGCGCGCTGCGGCCGGCGAACCGCGCTGATCCGATGGCAGGAGCCAGGTGCTTCTCCTGGTCTCCCATGGGGTACAGGGCCCAAGCACTTGGGCCATCCTCCACTGCACTCCCGGGCCACAGCAGAGAGCTGGCCTGGAAGAGGGGCAACCGGAACAGAATCCGGCACCCCGACCGGGACTAGAACCCAGTGTGCTGCCACCGCAAGGCGGAGGATTAGCCTAGTGAGCCGCGGCGCCGGCCTCTGTATGCATTTTCATATCTTAAATGTGAACCCCTTAAAGGGAGTTCCTGACTAAATGTGATGCAGGAATGAGGAATACACAAATAAATGCGGAAAATGTAAAAAAAAAAAAAAAGAGAGAGATTGTTAAACCAGGAGATGAACATATTTAAAAAAGGCAACAGGCCGGCGCCACGGCACAATAGGCTAATCCTCTGCCTGCGGTGCCGGCACACCGGGTTCTAGTCCCAGTTGGGGTTCCAGTTCTGTCCCGGTTGCCCCTCTTCCAGGCCAGCTCTCTGCTGTGGCCAGGGAGTGCAGTGGAGGATGGCCCAAGTGCTTGGGCCCTGCACCCGCATGGGAGACCAGGAGAAGCACCTGGCTCCCGTCATCGGATCAGAACTGTGCGCCGGCCACAGCATGCTGGCAGCAGCGGCCACTGGGGGGTGACCCAATGGAAAAAGGAAAACCTTTCCTTCTGTCTCTCTCTCTCACTGTCCACTCTGCCTGTCAAAAAAAAAAAAAAAAAAAAAAGGCAACAACATCTATACCTTGCAGGTTTTGGTTTACCAGACTGATCATAGCAGAGCAAGTGTTTGGTCCAGTGGTTAAGATACCGCCATCAGAGTGTCAGGGTTTGCTACCTGCCTCCATTCAATGCAGGCTGTGGAGAGGCAAGGTTCATGGCTCGAGGAATTGGGTCCCTGTCACCCATAAGGATAGACCTAGATTGAGTTCCAGGCTCCTGGCTCCAGCCCTGGCTCAGCTCCAGTGATTGTAACATTTGGAGTGTGCACCAGCAGATGGGGACTTTCTCTCTCTCTCTGTCTCTCTGTCTCCCTCCATGTCTCTCAGATAAATAAAAACTAATTCAAAGACAAATGAAAAACAAAACTGTTTGTACGGTTTAGTGTCAATGAGCACCATCCCTATTTTCATCAAAGTGAAGAATTAATGCAACAGCAAGTGAAACTGTTGGAAAAGCAGGGGTATTTGCCAGACAGTGCTCTCTGTTTGCTCAGCCACAGCTGTGCCCATTGCATGCCTGCTTTTCTAGGGGGAGAAGGTTAATCAGAGACGTCTGCTCATCAGACTGCTTCTGCCCCACCGCCAGCCCTCCATCCTCTTCCTACTTTAATACGTCTTGATAAGAAGAGGTATGCCCTTAATATATCTCAGAAAGCACTTCTCTGTGTACACGTTTTTAATAGAGTGTATTGTAGGGGAAGATAACAAAACTACCTCCAGTCATTTAGAGGCTGTGCTTAAGAATAACTAGATAAAGCCTCCCTTGTGAGATGGAGATAACAGCAAAGATTTTCATTACCTTAAGTGGGTTAGTAAACAGGTGTGCCTGCCAGAGGCTAGTTACAGGACGCTTAGTAGATGGACTGACAGGTTGGGAATGGATAGATGGTTTAAATAAATAGATGGGAAGCTGTCACATTAAGGAGGTGCATAAGTGTGTAGATGGAATAAGGGTTAGATAAATGGGGAAGTAATACGTGAGTGGATAGGCCAGTGGTTAGCTGATGGAAGAATAAATGGCGCAACCATGTTTGATGGAGCCGAGTAGCCAGATGGAGTGAGGGAGTGATAAATGCCTACGCCAGCAAAAGAGCAGATGGATGGGTAAATGCTGTGGTTTGAACGGGAGCAGGAAAGGGGTCAGGCATAGACAGGAAGAGGATGGTGAAAAGGAAGATGACAAAGGAGAGAGCAAAAGGAAGCACTGAAGGTACTGAGATGCTTAGGGAATGTGGAAATATGTTTCCTTGACAAGTCATGAATTTCCAATGAGCCTGAGGAAATTGGAAACTCTCAATCACTGGTGCCCAGTGTTTACTGGCCATTTTAATATACAAAGCATATACAACTGGTCTACCAGGTTTTTTTGTAGGGTAGACAGAGTCCAGAGAACCCCATGTCTACATAGGAAAACCCCCTTGTGGATATAAACTTCCACATTCTAGCCCAGAGCCTTTGCCTGAGAAGATCCCTGTGTGACAAGATGAACTGAAAAACTGTATCCGCTTTCTACTGAGTTCTCAATAACCAGTTAGTGTTTCAAGGCTTCATCTGGGGGCAGTCATCAGACATCCATTGATTGAAAGAGAAGCAAAGGCTGGCCAGAGAATTTTTAACTACAGCACACTAAGGGGTGCAATTAAATTCTCCAGGGATACAGAGGGGTCACACAGATGAAGAAGGCCACACACCATTGGCTGAACTGGGAATGACTGACAAGACACTGGGTTGGAAGAGAGGAGTTAATATCCATTAAGAAAACAGCCAACATGTGATGAAAAAGATGCTTAGGAGCAACAAGAAGAAGACTGGAGCCTCCTTTCCAGGGCTCCTTCTCACGTTATTCTATTGCAGTAAAAATGAAGATGAATGAAAAGGCACACAGTTTTAAGAATGAAAGTCCATCATTGTCACCACAGCTTCTCACACCTACCTTTGTCACAGTGATGTTCTCTTCCGTGAAATCAAGCAGCAGGAACTGGGGAGAATTCAAATGCCCTAAAGGGGCAGTAGGTGGTCATTACTTTTTTGCAACTTCTTCTTTGATTTTTAGTCTAGTCAATAAATAATGTAGATGTTGATGCTGCAGGTGCGTTTTAGGCTATTCGTAACACCATGGAGTTTTGATACACAAATGTAATATGGAAAGTGCTTAGAATGCCCTGTGTCCCAGCTAAGCGTGTGCCTGTGAAAGTGGGAGAGGAGGAGACAGAGCTGCGTTTCATGGGAGTGACTTCTTCCCAAAGCCTAAAGCACATACATGAAAGAAACACAGGTGACTTGCCCTTTCACCCCTCCTGGATGACAATGAGTTGTCCTAAGAAACAGTCCCCTAAAAGTTACAAACTTCTTTGAACTTTATTGATACACTGCACAATCACAACCATCTCGTATTCATCCTGAATTAGAAAAGCTTACAACTACAATGTAACATGCACAAAATTCAGGTAGTATATTCACCCTTAATACAATTGTTGACAGAAATCAAGTCTTCATTGATTTTTTTGAAGGAAAAAAAATAAGAGAAAAAAATAAAAGAAAAAAGAAGTCGAGAAGGCTGACAAAGTTATACTGTTGTATCATGTGATAAATGTTTAAAGCATTTAAACATAGATTTGTTTTAAGGATAATTGTGAGAATGGGCACACCCATTGTCTGACACAGCTATAACGGCACCATTGATAAGTCATAATTTTTTTTTAAATCTAGAGGACTCTGAACGTGACAGATACATTTCGTACACCCACACATTCCTCACAACTGCACGTTACATGTCACAAAAATCTCTGAATGATTAAAAATGCTCCCTTTAACTAACACAGGGCAGCAATTATTACTTATCATTGTTATTATTGATATCCTTATAAATCTGCCAAATAATGTAGGCTGTAGTCCCACAAGATGGTAGAGGGTTCACAATCTTTCTTTCTCTACTCGCCATGTGGAACAACTTTGGGCCATCACAGGGCACCACTGAAAGAAACAAAAAGCAATCTCTCCCAAGAAGCTGGGAATTGGGCGCAGCTGACTACTCTCAGGTGGAGACAATTGCCTCTAATGAAGTCCACTCCACTCTCCTCGGACTCCCAAGTATTCTGCACCTGAAGGCAAATTGCTCTGGTTCCGCTCTTTTTTGCCACATCTTTTAATTGCAAATCTGTTTCTTCTTCCTTTCATTTGCTTCTCTTCTCTTAAGTAAGAAATGAGGGAAATGAGACTAGCATTTTTATTTGTTTGTGTTTCAGTGATCATTAGGAGTTCTCATCATATGGTATCTTTTTTGAAAATGTTGCCTTCCTAGTTACACACCTGTGAAGTTTTGCTGCAACAGCTCAAAACTTATTTGTCTCGAAAGAAAAACACAGGGAAGTCTTGGATAATAGGAGGGAAAGCAGTGGTATGAGTTTACAGGAATAGAGCTTGATCGAAATGAAAACAGATTCTAGCCCCTGTCTAGCAGATTTTGCTGCTTGACAAAAAAAAAAAAAAAAAAAAAAAATGCTATGCTTGTAATTCCAAAGGGACTAATTTTGGGGGGGAGGGGGAGGTGAGCAGAGAGGGTGAAATGTGGTTGGGGAAGGGTCTGGTCCTGGGGATTTACAAAGCTAATTTGTCTTTTTCTGTTGAGAACTCAAGGATCAAGATGGGGAAAGACCACACCATGAGATCTCAGCTCACTTTAAGCCACTCTGCCCCTCCTTCTGCTGGCAGCCACATTCAACTACCGATAAGATGTCCCCATTGCCACTGGATGCAGCAAGTGAAGCTTGGGGATTTAATTTAGAGCTACCCCTGGTGAGTGGTAGCAATGAACGCCTGCTGGGATTGCCTGTGCACTTACTTGGAGGCTCTCTGCCTCTTGGAGGTCATCGTTCCCTCACCAGCAGCAGAGCTTGCTAAGCCCCCTTTGGAGAGGGCAGGGGTAGTAGACCCTCAAACTCAGCATCAGTTATGGAGGTTCTGCACACGTGCCACCCAGCTTTTGAGAATTAACTGCCCGACTTGTAAATTGAAGCATCTAGGAAGAGGTGTGGACTTCGTAGTAGAGTCCTCTTCATGACACAAAGCAATCTCACAGGCAGCAGAACCACCAGGCACAGTGCTGTCTGCATAGAATATATCCTTACTATGACAGCCTCTCTCCTCTGTCTTCACCCTCCCAATTAAAGCAAGAATAAGTACAACTAAGCCCACCTCTTTAGACTTGCAGATGACTGTATCAGGCACTTGACATTGAGAAACAAGCTTGGCCAGGGTTCACACTAGCACTTTTCATTGGCATTACTTTGGTGGAAGTGCATGCTGCATTAACTTTGTTTAGGAAAGGGAAAGAGTTTCAGAGTAACTGCATCACCGACTTCCTCTCACCTAATCTCCCGATAAGCCATATTTGGTTTCCTTCCCACATAGAAAACTCTACACGGAGCTGTTGCCCCTCCCTGGGTCCCACTCCCCCTCCCCCCACCACCACCGGCATCCTGAACAAACCTGTCCAGTATACCTCAGCCACCTACCTACCGTATGCAAAGTCAGAAAAGCAAGTGTGTATGTGGATACTGTCTTTAGCAAACGTCTGCTGTGCTGTACCTTTCCAGATGTTGGGGAATAGCCAGAGAGTCCACACAAACATTGCTGAAGCTAGATCAGGTCTCTTGTGAGGGAAAGTCATCTTCACTCGCATGCCCTGGTTGACTTGGATCTTATTATTTACTTGGTGTTCTTTGTCCCAGATAAAAAAGGATTGACTGTAGCATGTCATGCAGAAATAGGTCCCCACCAGAGGTGCTTGCTAGTGTCTGGTGGAACAGGGCAGAGCAGAGTTCTGCAATAATCCTGGGACCAGCCACATTGGGTTTGAAAGGTTCTGATGATCTCCTTGGCCAAAGAAAGGCAGACCCCTTCCTTTCTGGCAAGTCTTGGAGTGAGGAACAGGTAGAGCGAGTCCATTTCAAGAACCATGTTCTCCAAGACCATCTACTCCCCACAGCCTGCACATCTGTTTGACCCCCTAAAGTAACAGATGCAGTACCGGTGGCACACTCAAGTGACATGGTATTCCCAGAGGGTGTCTGTCACCAGCCTGGCCCAGGTGCTGGCTGTGGTGACAGATCTCAACTGCATGCGCCCGACCTTTAATTTTGATTTGGGGCCGGCTCATGACAGTCTCTGGAGCTTGGCATCAATAGACTGTTTTCTGGCACACCATTTATGCTCCCAGAACCTGGCTCTTGGCAGCTCACTAGGAAATGCAGATGTCTGTAGATCGCTGGCATGGATCATATTCATTTCACTCATGCCACTTCTGCCTCTTGCGACAAAACCTAGCTTTATGTATGCCAAGCCAGCATGCGTGTGTGCAAGAACGTGTGCATGTGAGTATGTGAATGTACATGTGCCCCAACCATAGATGTCATGTTCATGTGTCAAGGGAGGAGGCACCTCTTTAGGGGGAAGAAGATCAATTACACATTAAGGGAATGGAACTATGGAACTCTATGAAGCTCACATTTATTATTTTTAAAAATGTGGACCCAAAACAGTTTTCCGACCGAGGCAGGGCAGGTCTGTAAGAAAGTCATTGTTGATACATCTTCCTCATTCTCTCCACAGGCCAGTTTCTGCTTCACAGTTCTGTAGTGTTTTTCGATGCTATTCTTTTGAATCACAGGCCCCTTGCTGGATGAGCTCTCTTGTACCAGGAGACAATGCAGAAAAGGCATGTCCACTCTTGTTTGAACACTGGAGATGCTTTGAACTGGGGGAGCTGGGGAGATTCTTCCCCCAAGCCACTGGAGAAGCAGCCTGCCTCAGAGGAAATCCTGTCACTTACACATTCCCCTTCTACTTGCAATGTTGTGTTCATCAAGTGCTTAGAAATTAAGTCAGTTGCTCAAGGGCCCTCAGCTCAGAAGAGCTTCCTGAAACAAATACTGGAGTTGTCAACACACCCGCCATGTAATTGGACCTCCATCAGCTCTTTACCGGATAGTTTTCAAACAGATCAAACCAGAACTAGGCAGAGGAGCCATCAGCTGAAGTCCTCACTCTCTTTAACGGGTGGATTGCTGACTGCACATTGCAGATCCATATGTGTTTTCTCTTAGGTTTTTCCTACTAAGGAATGCCATAGGTTCCTGATATGCTCTTTCTTGAAAGGCCGAGGGAAGAATGAAGGTTGGTACCTTAGTCCTTCAACTGTGAAAGAAAAAACATAGTGCTAACCAAGGCTTTTTCAGAGATGATCTGCTTCCCAAGATGATGTTTTTAGGAAACACAGACTCTTCTGGAAATAGTGAGGGACTGACCATTCAAGTGCTATGTTGGTCCACCTG